CAGGATGCAGCTCACCCTTCTTGCGACTCGCCAAATACCTCACGGTGCTTCGCGCTTGGTGATGTGAGAGCCTGGTCCGGTGAGAACCCGGCGTGCTCCGTCCCGGCTTTGTAGGGATGCGAGGTCAATGGTCTAATGACTACGGCATGCACGACTATGAGTACACCCCCCCCCCCCCCCCCCCCTCCGGAGGGGGGAGAAATCGAAAAATTACCACGAATCCTCGAACAGTCACCATGAGGTTAGATGGATTGCAAGGATTGCAAACATGCCTCGCTCTCGTTAACCCTTCCGCATCTGTTCGTAAGAAGCCAGCCCACCCAGTCGTGCTACAGGAACATATGTACGGTAGCGCCCTATATCTACAAAAGTACATATCGACCATAGCTCGAAATGAGCGAAGCAGCTCACAGGTAACCACCATCCAACACAACCGCCTGCCTTGCAAACTACTTGCCCTTGCCGCTTCTAGCACTGCACTACAGGGAAGTTAGTCTCGCCAATCTATTCGTAGCCTTGGTCTTGTAGGGTTGCGTTTGACTTGATCAATCTACCCCGCTTACTCATGCGGACCCCTGCTTGCGAGTTCTCGCGCGGTGTCTCACTACGTTCTCTGCGAGAGAGAGCTTATGGGTTAGGGTTAGGGTTAGGGTTATGGTTAGAGAGCCGGACGCCAAAGCACCGACGCCTCGGCGTAAAACCCGGGGATACATGGGTATATGTCTCCGCCCCCCCCCCCCAAATGACCGATTTTCGATTAGTAGGCCTATCTATGTGTCTTGAATTTGTTTTCGCGCATACCGTTGATTTTGGCGGTAATTTTTCGGTGGTAACGCCATACGGCGGTAAGGCTTTTGGCGAAGGTGGTAAAACGAACAAAAACGGCGGTAAAACGGCGGATTACCGGGACCGCCCACCACGGTGGTCATTTCGCGGCGGAAAATTACCGAGTAAATATTCTCAAAATACAACGAAGAGCAAAAGAAAAACACGGCGGAGGGAACGACATCAGAATATCGAACATTTTATTATCTTCTACGACATGGCGGAGGTGGTTGGCACTCGTCGAAAAAACATACACCCACAATAAGATAGTGAAGAGGATAAACAATCGATTCGACGCCAACCGGCCGGGTTCCGATGCCCCTAGAGGTCTTCTGCCTAGCAATCAATCAGGCTAGGGTACGTGTGTGTGTGTATGTGCGGACCACCCTCTTCACAAACGGTTGTACAATCTTCCAAACGCCTGTTGACGACGACTCCCGGGCACATTTGAACTTTTTTCACCTTGATGATGATGGGTTGTGGCCACTGAGGTTTTTGGGTGTCGATGTGTTTCTTGCTGGCTGGACGAAAGGGCTGGGTATATACAGGCAGGGGCCGGAGAGAAACACGCGTAAGACCGTCTCGAACACACGAATTCCGAATCAACCACCAGCAACAACATCAGCAACACCAGCAGCAGCACCACCGCCACCATCATTACTACCGCCTTCATAATCAAAATCAACAGCTTAGGTTTTGGCATTCGCAGTACCGCCCCCATCACACACCCACCAACGACAACATCACCCGCGTCCTGCAACCAATCCTGTAGCGCACGTGTGGAGTGGTTGTGGTCGCTCAATCATTTTTTGGGGGGCTCGGTGGGGTGACACCTTTTCCTTGTCCTAATACCGGCCTTTGTCGCCGTGGTCTGCTCGAACAGCACGAGATACCGCTCTGGTCATTCAATCAGGAGCACCTGCTCAGCTGCTTTGTGTCGCGGCGTGGTTGGAGAGGGAGACGTTGCTCACTGTGGTTGGTCGGTGCTCTCCCAGGCAGTCTATGGACGCGTTCGTTTTCTTGCTCCGTCTGTCGATCCTTCTTCAGATCCCTCTGGTTTTCCACCGCACGTTCCATTTGTCGTCACTTTCTGAACGAGGCGTTGGTAAGGAGTCCTTGAAAAACACACCACCTTAGGTATCAACCCATGCCTATAATATATTGCCCTGTATGATCATGTACGATATCTGTGATTGTCGACACCATATTTTTTACTGTTTCATCCACGACTAAAACCTGTGGGCGATGGCCTTACTGAGATTCAGGTCAACCGGCGTTTCCAGAGCGAAACTGATCTTTACACGTCTTCCAGCTTATGAGCGGCCTAAGGCCTCTTGACTTCGAAATTGTTAGACCCCTTTGTCACACCGTCGTGGGTTGTGAGTTCGCATATGCTACGCCGCCACGGCTCATGAAAACGCACACAACACAACAAGCTGAAGTATTGTACAACTGTGACCCATAAACTAGATAGATTGTTTCTCCAAAACATTGCACCGCATGACGCAAACTTTAAGTGTCAATACCGGTTCTATTCTCCAGTCACGCACCGATCCCTACCCATCCCGAACTACGCACACAAAGCTTGACTAACAGAAAAAGCTGCCGTCATACCATTCCAATGGGTTTAACTTCCTGCACTACCTTCGCCCACAGCAGAACGGCAGGTTCATAAAACATTGACAGTATCGTAACAGTTCCTTCGTGTAGCGAAAATGAAGATCCCTTACATACTACAAAAAAAATAAACCAATGCACGAATAGCTAGAAAGCAATTTCTCCGGCAAAGGTTCTCCAAGCATCTAACTCTACTCCGCGATCGTCGACGCAAGTCTCCTGACATTGCCCGGAAAGCTCCCCTGCCTCCGCTCGTGTACCGGTGATGGTCTCTCACAACCGCTCGACCGTGTGAATGAACGCAGTGTCTCAACTACATCTTTTGAACACCCGCTTTATAAGCGAGTGGCCGCGGCAGACCTCTTCATGTCCCGCCAGAAATGCTGGGAGTATCCAAAGGTTTTCTTAACGTGGCGCGGGTTTGATTCCCTGGCCGGCGAAGAGTGGGTTGACAACGACGATCACCTCGCCGTCCTCATCGTCGTCGTCGCTCTGGCGTGCATTGCCGTCCTGATCATCGTCTCCTTCGCCGCTCTGACCGTCCTCATCGTCTCCGTCGCTCTTGCCGTCCTGCCCCTCCGACGAGGATCCTGACTGGAGACCCGTGTCGTTTTCGAGCTGCGCGATCGACGCGAGCGACTTGGAGTAGTTGAAGTCCAGGTCCCCCTGGAGGCCCATGTACGGGTCGAGGTCATCGAGCGAGCCTGGGGCCACCTCTCCGCCCTGTCGCGGCCGCCCGTCTTGATCGAAAGGGTCATGGCCTTCTCCGCTTTTTCCGTCTTCGATGCTACGGGCGAACCCTAACCCGTGCAGTATTCCACGCGGGGTGTTTTCCTCGGTCTCGGTTCCGAGTTTGCCGTCGGGCCGCAGGCCGAACATAGCCAACAAATCCGAGGTTCTGCCGCCGAGAATCCCAAGCCCGTGCCTCTTGATTTCCCCTCCCGAAACCGCCGTCCTTCCGGCGGTCTTCGTTCCGCGGGCCGGTTGGGCCTTGGGCGGAAACGCTCCTGGAGGGAGCTTCTGCTGCTGCTGCTGCTGCGGGTAGGGGTTCGGAGGGGATGGCGGGAGTGAAGAGGGTGTGCCAGGGCCACTGCTGTTCTCGCCGACCTTGTCCCCAGGAAGGCCTTTGCCGAAAGCGAAGCTATCTGACAGTGATATCTTCAGGGGAGGTAGGACGGGAGTACGTGGTCCACAGTTAAAGGAGAGACCAATGGGTGTTCAAATGGAACGTGCAAATGACACGGCATCGAAGGGCAAGCGGGGCACTGTCGTGAACACAAAAGGCTCAGGCTGGGATTTACCGTCCCGGGAGGGCACCTTCGATTTTTCGTTTTGCCGTAGGGGCCGCGGGTAGACGGATGCAATCGGCGTACGTGCGACGCGACTTTCGCTCGAAGGAGCACACGGGTCCGTTCTTCAACGCAGGCAAAGTCAGGCGACACCGTCAACAACGTCACACTTTTCCGAGGTGGAAACAGCCAAAGAAGACCAAAAAGCGATTGTATTGTGGGCCTACTCACGCGGTAGGTGAGCCCACCCCCTCCCATTCGTGCCATGACCTCCTGACGGGCCGTTTCGAATATGAAGGCGGAGGAGGCCTTCGACGTCAGCATTTCGTCTCTGCAGCAGGAGGACAGAGGGATGGACACGGGTGCTCCTTCCCTGATGTACCGGTCCAGAATCCTCATGGTCACGGCCTGCACGGAGCCAAGACAGGCAGGTTCATATTGCTCAACCATCACCCGCGGTAACAGCGTGAAAAAAACAGGTCACTTGTTGCTCAGGCGGGAGGAGAGCAGGAAGAGACGGTCGTGGAGAACTCGTAGTCCAGCCGTTTGTCTCGCTTGTTGTCGATTTGTTCATGCGGAGATCACTTGCTTGCAACCCTGCGGCAGCCGGCTGCAACCGCATCGTGAACACCATCTACTCAAGCGGGCGCTGACTAAGGTGGCACGCAAGGGCCTACATAAGTGCAATTTCCCAACAGTCCAGTACTTGGACTTGGTGATATCATCTTCCTCGAGGAGCAGCATCACTCTCCAGCAAGAAAAAAAACATTGGCAAGAGTTTCATCGAAACAAAAGACTGTTGTGGAATGTGGCCTTTGTATTTCACCTGAAGCAAGAAGTAGTCTCGAACACATTCTCGGTCAAGCGAATCACTGAAAAACGATGTCATCGCCAAGGACTCCGGCATGTCCCGCCCTTCTGGGGAACTCGCGAGGGTGCTCACTTTCATCCTGTCCTGAGTCATCTTTTGGAGATCTCCTGGCTGATGGGTCCTGATTAACCCGAACTCGCCGCTGGTTTGGAAGGACGGGCAACCCGAAACAGGGGCCGAGACAGGGCGGCAGAAGGACAGACAGAGAGAGACAGGCGGAGAGGCAGGATAGATAGACAGACAAACATATATCACAGACAGAGAGGGACGGTCGGGATTGAGGCTGTGTGGGGGGGGAGGTTGCTGCCAGGTGATCGTCCCCTTTCGGTCAATGGGCGATCAACACTCGACAGGCGAAAAATCGAAATCATCGATGGCACTTCTCATAAGCCAACAACTATTCCCCTCGCTTAGGTTTGTAATCTTCCCCGACTCCTCGCAAAAACAAACTCCGCAACCACTTCGAAACTACGAAGGTGTGTTGTATGGGAGGGTTGTTCGTGGTCTACTGCTCAGTGCGCCTTCGACGTTCAATCTAGACTTATTAACAACCGTCACGCTTCGAAGCAACCTCTACACACTGAATTTGCGTCGTTGCGTGTTCACCTGGCCACCACTTCGTGATCGCGAGCTAAAACGAAGGACGTGACAGCATCCCACAGAGGAGGGGCGACAATCGCCAAGGAGGTGAGCGACGAGGTCACGAGCATCGCCCTCCGACGTTCATCCCTTTCCGCTTCGAGACCCTTGTGGAGAGCGGGCAGCCCGAGAGTGGCGGCAAGGACCACGACGGTCGTCGACACAGCCGCGGTGAACTCCTCCGGTGCCTTGTAGGTAGTGGCGATCCGTCCACATGGAATGTTCGGGGGGGGGAAGGGGTTCATGCAGGGCACCGTGAGCGCTGATTCGCAGAATGTAGGGAGAGGGACACGTGTCGTTCCATGCGAGGTAGCCCGAGCTTTCTCGTGAAGCGGAACGGAGGTGGAGTACGCGCGCCGTTGGTCATTGGCGCATCGATAAAACATATTTATTTCCGAAAAGCGTGAGGGCGCAGCTACAGAAGGAAAAAACAATGACGGCGACGATGCCGTCAAATGCGTATGACGGTGTTCGTGTGCCTTCCGCCATGCCACGAGCTTTTCATGGTGCAACATCCAAGTGCGAGATGAGAAGCGAGGCCAAACAGGTGGACCTCCCCCGTAGGTGAGAATGCAGGAACAAACACTTGCGCTCGAATACGTCGATCACCTGAAAACGTACTGCCTGCAGCCGGCACGTCAGCGCGGCGGTAGCGGCGGCGAGGAGTGCCATGAACCCGACCGCGATGGCCTCCGGCATTTCGGAGTCCCGCTCACACTCGTTTGTTTCTTCGTCGAACACCAATGCTTCCGCGCCCGAGGTGAGAGCAGTCGGCGTCAAGACGAAAGGCATGATCGTGATGCCCAGCTGAAGCGGGACTGGCCACATGAAGCCGTTGTGCCAGAGGAGAACGCTGTGGCTCCTGTACACCCGGAGGAACGCGCACGCAAACATCCCCCCGGCCCCCAACCACAGCATCCACGTCTCCGTGGTACATCCAGCTGGGTGTTTCGATCCTTCGGTCGGTGGCCCTAACCACCCGTATCTAATTGCCACCGCCGGAATGGTAACCATACCCTTATCAATCACGAGGCGAGAAGGCGGGAATAGGGAGCCTTAGGTAAAGAATCTCCACATCGGGACGGACGGGTCTATGCAGTTACCTCCAAACTGAATTTGAGGGGACGTCTCCAATGGGCACGTGTGGATATTGGATCGATTGAGGAAAAGACGCTCATCCACTTTTTCTCTCCCCGCCCCGACGGTACCTTAACCGGGCTCGACGCGGATCCGGCGGTTACGCTGACCCGTGCATGTAGATGAGATTCTAGAACTCGGACGGGTGTGTCTTTATACTCGGGGTCTTCCGTTTCGCTCACAAGCGTTTTCGGGGCGGGACGCCGTGCCTCAAAGTCCTAGTCTACTCTCTCAAAGGTTTCCGCATTATGCTTGCTTTTCAACCCGCACAGGAGGTTGAGACAAAATCCGGTGATCTTCAGCTTGTGCGGCGAAAGAGAACATCTGTATTCAAATAACACTGCCTACAGTAGGATATAACAACAATATACAGTATTACTGTAATCCGTGCCCTTCTTTGATCTGGTCGAGTCGGTCGCATATACATGTAGTCGCGCTGCCCTCCTCCGGCCAGCAACGACAGAGGCATTCATTCGTCTGTCGGGTCTGCTTTTAACTCTTGTCTATTGAGCGAGGATTACTTTACGACACAGATCGCCTCGGCCAAGTCAACGTCAGAACTGTGCGGTACAGTGTGAGGTCCACATGCGGTTTTGGGAGGGCGGGGGCAGCTCAAGGCAATGCTCTGATCTACTGTAGCCGGGTGGCCTTCTAGTCTACACGGAATTTTGTTTTGGAAAAAAACAAGTTGTAGATGTAGTAGTGTATGCGCTATATAGTGAAGCCCCACCGACTAAGGTAGGGGTGTGATAGATAGGCTCAGGCTAATGGGTAAGCCTTCTCAATAGGCTGCCTGTCGTGTGTGCAAGGTCGCCCCTGGTAACCGTGTTACCTTTGCTCTGTAGTCTAAGGGCTGGGTGGCTGCCCACATATGGTGGCACGCGTGACGCTTGCATCATCATCATCAGATATGGGTGCGAATCACCACGAAATAACGATCACACACGAATACAAACCAACCTGCTGGGGAGGTTGTGTTAGAAAACCTTTTGGGGGCTGATATGTACATGAGCAGCCCGAGCAAATTCAAGATATGCATGTGGAAGGCATACATGCATGTTCAAGCCACACTCACAGCTAACGCGGAGCAAATGACGAGGGCGGGGACCTTGGTGTGGTATGCCGGCCATTGCCGATTCACTACGAAATGGAGCGCGATGATCGCTAGAGACACCTCTGCTACGGTCGATACTCCGACGACAGCGAGGTCTGGCGAGTCTGCCAACACCATAGCTGTTGCACGACGCGGGGCACTGCTCTCCGTCTCTGTTCGGGCGGGACCCGTTGCGCTGCTCGTCCGTCCTTTCAAATCAATTGCGAGATAGCGCCGCTTGAGGAAATGTGCAACTCCCAGAAATCAATTCTCCTGTTCATGTGTTGATGCACCTCTCCGGAGGGTCACATGACTTTAGGGACTTTTTCTGAAACTGCCATGGATTTCGCGTCAAGCCTCTCAGGGCAACAACGCTCACATCTTCAAAACCACACAAAATGAATAGACTATGGCGCGATATCGCAAACCCACTTTCAAAGGTGCTCCGATGTCTTGCGTGCTACAGTTAGTTGTGCAAATCCCAGTGATACACGAATTGGGCTGTGTCGCTAACTTCCACCTCAAGAAGACTACTTTGCATCTGCAACTTCAGGAGAGACAACGATCCGAGGGGCATTCGGTGGACTGAATGCAGCCGATTGCTTCCTGCCGTACGGTGCAGAAAATAAGCCGCGGTAGGGGCGATCTGCACGCTCAACTTTATAGGTCTAATAGTTCATCGCTTGGCTTTGTCGTAGGGAGGAGGGGAGGAGCGCATGTATCGGCTCTAAAGCACAGGGGTTCGTAACGTCGGTGTGGATGTATGTACAAACAGTAGTTCCTTTTCTTCTTCTATGAATTGGATAGCGTTCATCGCGCCTACTTTGACCATCGCATCAGTACCAATACAGATAGAGTCGTTTCGGTACCTCGGTCAACCGATTGGGGTCGAGGGCAAATGCATGTCCTGCAACATACATCATTTTACATATGGCCCTGCATGAGCTTGTTGACTGCGAATGAATGAATGAATTTCGTCCCAACACAACAACACTTCTGGACGGCAAACCCTGCTGCTTTACGCCAACCCTCAATAAATTAATTGCACCTCATACCGCAAATGACGTCTCACTCTCACAGCCCCACCGTTCTGGAACCCGATGTTACTATGTAGACAGTCTTACCCGCACACCGACCAAACGATTCTATTCTCGAATGACAATCCTTGTTGATATGAAAATGACGCAAATGTTTGTTTTTCATGTCCAACTACAATATTCTCTCATCATTCGCAGTTAACACGTACCTCGGAGTCTTGCCTCTCAGTCGCTCGCTATTTGCAAGGGAGCTCATTTTTCCGGCGCGTAGGAACAACACGCCCCCTCGCAACTACAGATGTCCGATCCGGTAACACGTTTCATTCTGCAGTACTTGGCTTGATTCTGATGAAGGAGCACGCGACAGTTCCATCCAATGTGCACTATCGAACAAACAGAGCAAGCGCACCGTTTCTAGGCACCAAACCGAAAGAACACACAACGAACACACCTCGCCGACATTAGAACTCCCAACCTACCCAACCTAGCCGCTGATGGTGTTCTGTCGGAGACACCAACGGGAGTCTGAATGTGGTATTGTGACGACAGTGCGGCGCGCTGACCCGTGACTTGTGAAACGTTTCGGACAGCCGTGCACGGCCGTCGAGGACTGAACTCCTTTTGGGTGCTGATGCCCGCCGCGTCGTTCCCCGTGCTTCCAACAAAGCAGCAAAATTTGGTCAGCGCTTGCACCGGCCGGGACCAGCCGAATGCTAATACAACCATGGAACCCTTCTCTTTGCATCCTTGCAACGACTCCACAAGGACGAAACGATAAAACGCAGCCCTTGGCACAGACGGAGACTCACAGCGATGACCGAATCTCATGGGCATCACGAACATTAACTTCTCAACGCCACGATGACGGAATACTCAGGACGGCAATGCATCGATCGCAGAGGATGAGGATTCCCTGCACAAGTAATTCGACGGCACGTGTCCGAAAGACATGTCATATCCGAGAATGACAACCCTCTGCCGATGGTCGAAAGCCAACTACTCACACTCTGCTGCATCGCAACAATCGAGAACGCCACATCACTCTTTGGGTGCTGTTGGCTGCGGCAAGGGCACACTCTCCGGACCAACAAGCTTCACAACCACTGACAGCCTCCACTGTTCGGTTCCTGGTGACCATAGCCTAGCGCTTGTCTCGGTGACGGGGTGCCATCCCCTTCTCCGCGCAGTTAAGTTCGTTAGGCTCAACGTTTTCGCACCGACCCCATAGAAGGGGAGGGCACTTCACTCGAAACTTCACACACTCCTACACTTCAAACGAAAACATAAAAATTATTGGCGCCAAAATGCACGGAGCAGTCGCCTCTTTACACCACCATGCACCAAAGCATCTTTAACTCACAAAGGATAAAACAACGGGTGACGTCCACGGCAAAAACACAGCAGTACACGCAACAGCACACACAGCGGAACATGTAACGGAACTTCCTCGAAGTGTTCCCCCTGACACACGGACCTGACATACGCTGTTCGTGTTGCCCCGTCGTCTACTTCAGTCTTAGCCTTACCGCGGCTCTCACGATTCTCGCGGCCACGTCAAAGCCGCTCGAAAAGATAACACACGCAGCGCGTCCTGCATGCGAATCACTATCATGGAATAACGAAGCGCCGGCCCCTGGGAAAACACAAACAAACTGCCTCAGGAAAACCTTCGCGGGTGCCGTGCATACTATTACGCTGACGTCTACACCCTTTTTTGGAGAGTCGCTCTGGCCTTTTTTTGGCTCCAAGATCCGGCAAGTTTTTCGAAAAGGTTATACCTCGACCCCTTCCGACGAAATACCCCCAGGATGGCCCCCGTGGCTGTTGGTCATACGCTATTCCAATGGTTTACCTTGGATACAGACGCATACCAGTGCCTTTGTGTTTGCTCGGCCAATTCGCCACCCATTCACTATTATGTACAAGGTCAACAGAAACAGAGTTGCACCCACGGTCTAACGCTGCTGTGGGCAACTCCTCGACACACATGACCGAAGGAGCTTACTCAACCATTCGGCTCAGCGTCCTAGTGAAAACCGACCACCACATACCCACAGAGACACATGGCAAATGGCGGAAACCCCAGCGCCATACGCTTACTGCTGGCGGGCGATCGACCCCCCAGATATGCGCGCTGTCCCGCGGGCATGCATGCAAACCCCAAGCTCTGTTTGAGAAAACACGAAGAATGAATCCCGCACGTTTGACGTCGTGGTCTCCATATCAGAGTCGTGTGATATCACGACCGAAAAACCTGACCTTCAACCAGTCCACGGCAACGTTGATGCGGTTGCGCGGGCTAACCTGCGGGGGGGTTTACGCGCGGATAGTTCGAGAGGAGGCATGTGTCACGGGGGGGGAGGGGGGAAAGAACGGTAGTACAACGTCAGAAGCACGATGGTGATGCCGTAGAGGTCCCATACAATGCCAGTGCGATCCAGCCGACTTCACCGGCATTTTCGCCGGCAACTGGCACTATTCAGAGTATGAAACAACTTGAATATCCCATTTGTGCCAGACGATTTCCCCCGCATTATTCGGTCGGCAATATCCCGGGACCACTACTGTGCCGCCTTCTCGCACAGCTTAGTGAACTGATCTTCGACGTTGACATCTCACGGACTGCCAGCCGTGGTGAGCAGCGCGAGTCATTTCCGGCAGCGTGCTCGACGCTGGCCCAGCACCGAACCGAACGTGCCCTTCTGCGGTATACTCCGAGGATGGACCTGATGGCTTCAGCGAAGAGACCCCGCTAGATCACTCAACCAGACCGTTTCGCATCGTCTCTGACAGATCCATTCACATCTTCCATGGCAACGGCATCTTCAACAATCCTAGAATGTCCGCAACCCCGGCGGCATTCCATCTTTCGTGTAGGCATGCCGTCAACTCCCCTGGAAGGTCAGAAAACTCTTGGAACAGGTACACACACACCAATGAAAGCTCTGGCACACATGCCAACGTGCACAGGCATGTCGAGGAAAACGCCCCTTTGAAAACTCTTGCCTGTTTGACGACGTACGTCGACCTCCACAAGAAGAACCCTGCTTTTCCCGCAGCGTCGAGCACCGGGGTGTCTTTCCCTACCTTAACCTCCGCTACCGCCTGCCAGGGGTGGACGTGGATACCGGCAACAGAGCAACAAGAGAGGCGTCTGGTGAATGTGGGCGGTGTTTTCGAGCGGCAACGAGACGCTGCCATCCCTCCTGCCTTCATTTGTGTCGATCGAGATGTGTCTTTTTTCAACGCGACAGTCCAGCGACAGAGGCCCACAGCCCTCCCTACACACCCGCCACCATCAGCGCCACATCCAGGAAAAGTGTCTGCAAAAGGGGGCCGGGGAGCGGAGAAACAGGCTTGGAGTGAAAACGGGCAGCTGTGCGGCACCCTCAACTGAACTAGTTTCGCCAGTGGAGTTCCCGTCAGAGCGCCCCCACGCATATATGTTGGTCTAGCTGCCTAGTTGAATTTGGCGTGGTGATAGAGGGATACTTCCGTGAGAGAGCGCCATCGTGTTTCCCGATGAGGCGCGTGGTGGGTTCATCATGCGGGCGATACGGGGCGACTTTGCCCCGACATCGTTGATGCTGCAGATGTTGCTTCTTTTGGTGCTGTTGGTATTATGCTATGGTTACTGCCCATAAGAGTCTTAAAGTAGTACAAGTAGTAGGAGTGGCGGTGGTGGTGGTGGCGGTGGCGGTTGGCTTCAACAACGAAAAAGTGCCCCCCCTCCGCGATCCGACCTCTCCCGTTTCATAGGGAAAGACAAGCTCATAGGAGTCCTCGTCTCCGACCGACCGTCTTGCCTGTCCCATTCCGATGTACGCCAAGACTCCGAGGTTGATGAAGTGGAACGGCGACGCCGACAAGCGTCCCCTCAGCCTGAAGAAGTCCACCGCCTTTTCCATCTGGCCGGCGGTGCTGTTGTCGTAGCCGGTCATCTTCAGTGGGGCGGAATGTCGCGGAGCGGAGGTTCTGAACTGAGAACCTCGTTTTCACCCAACGGCCAACTTTGCGGCTAAGCCGCGGAAACCAAACACCTCGCGACCATGTGTCTGGACGTTGCCTGCAACTGCATGCTCAACACCCGCAATGATAATAAGCCCGCTTTGCCCCAAGCTCATGCAGCCCCTGGACCCGCATCGTGACCGCTATTAGTCAACCCAAGAGAGCTGTTCATCCTGAAGCACCTGCATGCGCCTTTGTCATGCGGCGTGGTCAGAATACCGAAGACGGATCTCGCTCACCGTTGGTGCCGCTTCCACCGAGGTGTCGTAGCCCCTGTTGAGCAAACGAGCCACGTACGCCCCTTCTTGGGCGGCCACCTGTTCATCCGAGAAACACGGCGGTGGGCGAGGGTCGCCGACCTAAATTCGCGGGATACACGAGACACCAAGCATCGAACACCGCCAGACAGAGCCTCGCAATCGCCCCCCGGCGAATTTAGCGCTTCTCCCAAGACAGTGCGTACGCGAAGCAGTGTGGCCGAGAAACATCTCAAACGCGCGTTACGCCTCTGCGGCCGGCAAAACCAGCACAATGGCAGTGGTGTAACGATCGAGGCGGATAAACGGCTGATGCTCACAAGCCAGGGTTAAGCAATGCGTGTGAACCCGGACCTGAGGTTCGCCGAGCAAGCGGATAGGGAAGAGAGAGGCAAGGATTCATAACGCCTGCCCGCGACGGTCATGGACGGAATACTGACGAACAAGACAGCATCATATCACCACGCCAACACTGCCCTCGAACGGCAAGAGACACACCTGCCCAGTCGTCGGCATCTTTACTCCCTGTATGCTCGAAGCGTCACCCAGCGCCAAGATCGTCCCGTTGGTGCCCAACGCGCGCATGTATCTGCCCAATGCGCACGGCGACGAAAAGACAACGGATTTGACGAGGGGGGGTCGTGTCGGGAATGGGGCAGCTCCGTCACAAATTGAAGCTGCCGAACATGGAAAGGTGATCGTCGATTCGCGTCTTCGCTATGTGCACTTTCTTTTCTCGGCACGCAGTATGCGTAGCAAAAGCAGCCCATCGCCTGACCTTCGCTTTCCCTCTTGTCCCCACCTAGAAGTTGGAGAGTATTGGGTAACCGGCACTAGCCCGGAGCGGGTGGTGTTGTGCCCATCATGGCCTGTCGTGCGCAAACTAACAGCAATACCGCCTCTCACCCGTCCACTGTGATCTGTCCCCTCTTACTTCCGCTTGCATCCGTCTGCTCGGGGCCGATGGTCTCGATCAGACTCTGCGTCAGAGGGCGCGCCTCTGTGCCCCCTGCCCAGAAGCAAAGGCCGTAAGGGATGCGCTTTCCATTCTTCAGGACAACCTGCGGACAGAGGAAAGAGGGAAAACAACAAGAACAGCAATAGACAGAAGATTGGGGTCGCGTAGACTCATTCATGTCTTGCGTGTGGTTTCGCACAGACAACAGTTTTCATCTTTCCTACTGAAAACAACAACAACAACAACAGCAACAACAGCAACAACAGCAACAACGACAGCTAGACAGAAGGAATAGGGTCGCGTAGACTTGTTGATGTCTCTCGATTGTGCTTCTCAAACAGGTAACAGTCTTCATCTACGCTACGCTACAGCCACTGAACGGCTCGCTGAATATTTTCAACCTGTTGACTGTGCAGTCAACCGAGGAGGGCTAGGGTATCCCAAACGGCTCCCTGAATAAGCTGCGGAGTCCCCCTTTGCTCCGCAGCACCCACGTGATTCTTTTCACGACTCAACGTTAACGAAGGCAAACGAAGCCAAAACGCGACCACTTGTGAACAACTGAAACGGTCCGTCCATGCCATGCTAGTGCCAGCGAAGGAAACCTTGTTGTGGAATTGTCAGCAGAGAGACGTCTGGGCGACGGAAGCTCTGTACTTGGGGTCTACGGCGTGGGAAGACGAGGTGACTCTACAATAGCCAATCTTCGTCAACCAAGAGACCCAGGTGCTCGGTTGTGTGAGTGTGGAGATAGATGCATGTGTCACGGGGCCAGTACCGTACGCCGAAACGTCGCTGTTGGTCTTCGCGATTCCGCCGCTTGATCTCGAGGGGCGGGGCCACGCTAGGTATCACCAAGGACGTTCCATGATGGAGACTATAATCGTGGCTGAAGATCAGGGTGATCAACACATCGACCATCCCTGCAGTTATCACAGACAACGCAAGTTGCCATGGCGGTAGCGGGATTTTAGTGGGATTACGACGACGTGAGGAGCGGCTTCTGCTCCAAGAACCGTTCCAAAAGAAGCACCAGTGAGAGCAGGACCGGAACCAGAACCAGGTCATGCGGGTGAGGATCCAGCAGCTGATGTGAGCAAGGTCAAGACGGGACAACTAGGCCCGGAGACACACGAGAGCGATTGTTGAAGCTGCCGCACGAGTTCAAAGACTTGCTCCCGAAAGACACGAAGGTAGTCGGGTTCCAACATGGGAGGAAAGTGGGGCTTCCGCTAAACGGCGAGAGCGATACTCCGGTGGCGTGTCAGGAGCAAAGAAGGTGGAGCCCTCACGTGGCGGATATTCTGATAGAGCAGATCATTCGCAGGAACTTGCCCACGCCCTCGTGGTCTTCCAGGATCGTGCGAGTCCCCAAGGCAGACGGGCCCTACCGCAGTTGTATCAATTACAGTCTTCACGACAGGCAGAAAAAACAAGGGCAGCTGGGGACTCGGAGACATGACGGGAATGCTCGACCGTATGAAGGGCAGCAAGTATTGTCGGCCTTCATTCGGTCGAACATCCCCGTCATGTCTCCGATTCCCCCGCTGCCCTTCTTTAGCAGCAGGTTGAGAGGCCTGGAGTCGATACAGATGCGGGACTGCACGATTCTGGAACACAAGGAGGAGGTGCACAAGCGGTACGTTCCTGCCTTAAGCCCTCGCTCGATCTGTTCCATCAGAATGCCCGCTATGTGAGGGCTCCACCTTTGCCCTTTTCACGCCGCCGGAGTAACGCTATCGTCGTGTAGCGGAAGCCCCATTTCGACGGGTGATCTCCTGATGTGGTGCTTGTCAGCTTTTTCTGTATTTCCTTTGCGGCCCTTTTTCGGACTTTTTGTTCTGCACGTCTCTTTCTGTTGCCTGTTCTCAGTGTGATTGGTTCTTTTTGGGGCGGTTTGGTTTGCGTCCGTTGTGCGTTCTATGTTCTCCAAACCATAATGAATAACGTCTTCGTCAGAGAGACCGGTTTCACAGAGGTCGGAGCACTGACGGCCGCCCTTCGGGGTTGATGGCTTTCGAGATGTAACGGTCGACGTCGACCTCAAGACCGGCTTTTCCCCTTCAATACGTGTAAATTCCTGGCGTGGTCTAAACAAGGGAGGGTGGCACACTCCCTTCAATAGGTTGAAATTTCATGCGGGGTCTGACCCATCAAGGGAAAAACCGGTATTCAGTGCCTCCTCAGAATTTTGCGTTTTAAAAACACATTAAATACTGCGGCGGGGGTGTTACAACCATTGCACGGCTCACAAAATACTCGGTTCATCGTGAACTCGATCGAGAAGGGCTAGGGTATGCCCAATGGCTACCTGAAGAAGCTGCGGAGTCCCCCATTGCCCGTCACGTGATTCTTTTCACGGCCCAAAGTCAAGAAAGTTAGAGAAACCAGAATGCTTAGAGCAACCGAAACGGCCAGCTATGCTAGTGCTAGCGAAGGGATCCCTGTTGTGAAATTGTCCAATACTCCTCAGATCAAGGGTGGATCTAGGTAATCAGGTTATTGCGTTCGAATCGTTTGTTGACCGCTCTTAGGCGAGCTCACGCCACCATCCAGCCGGTGTCCAGGCTGCATCATCGTAAGGGCGCAACTCCATAGCTGTAATACAACGACTACAACTAAATACTACATGTGCGCGGAGCAGATCTCAGCCATTAACTGTGAGCATGTGTGACGGGTCGAGCGGACAACAACGCGTCTCTTTTTATCAAACCTTCCCGCGCGAACGGAACATCGCCACCAAGGATCCTACCAGGACTACTCAGTGCCACGGAGGCATGTTTTGCTCCACACGGAACGCGCGAAAATGCGCCACCTCGATTGTGAGTTTTGGGGCTAGCAGCATGGCCGGCGGTACAGAGCAACGACGCCGAAACCTCGTGTACCCTGAAAGAGGCGCGGACTACTGTGGCCACCTACCTCTTCCTTGGTGACCTCCGATGCCGCGCTCCCTAGCAGGATCTCAATGCCCTGGGACTGGAGGAGGTTCAGCCCTCTGTCTTGCAGCACCTGAGAGGGAGGGAGGGAGGGAGGGAGGGAGAGAGAGAGAGAGAGAGAATGAGACATGGATATGATGTATCACGCGATCTTCGAGGGGTCGGTCCGCCTACCGTCTCTTCTCCTGCGTGCGACGAAGAAGCCACCAAGAGGTCGCCGAGCGAAGTACCCTTGATCTGGGGCGCTGCTGCTGCGGCACCAACCCCATGCATCGAGCACGTGGGAGGCGAAACAAAAAATCGCCCATGGACAAGATCTCCCTCCGTATTCCAACGAAGCTGACCAAGATGTCGCACCCCAAGGACCGAAACTCAAACTTCGATTGTTCCACAGCGCAGAGAGCGGCAAGATGAGAATGGCGACACTGGAATCATCTCGTCGAGGGCTTTCCTTCAAAGCATCGTTAGAATTCTGACATCTTCCTCGTCGTATAGCAACCGGCCTTTTAAAAAATGGATCCAGGAGGGGTGTGGTATCTAAAGTCACCTACCGTTCGAGAGATCGGCCTGAGCGAATGTTAACGTTTCGTAAAACGAACAAAGCGTGACTCATTCCATCCTCTACAAGACCCGTCCGTCCAAGCTCTACGACGCGGTTCTGGGCGTGTTCTACGAAGCTGGCGGCGAAGGGTCTTCCATCCCAGGAGGACTTCTCCCGTACTATTAGATCAACTCCCAGGTTGGGGGACATGTTTAACAGTAGTCCCCTCCGAACAACGTCTCCATTGGGCAGGCATGCGGGCGGGGAAGCGAGGTGTTGCGGTTGCATCTAGCAAGCCGTTGCTATTGGCGTGACGCACCCCACCCCACCCAGCGCTTACAAAGGGCCTGAATGGGCGTGACGACCACCCTTGGTGACCAAAGTCTCAGGAATCGAGTCGAAGCAGATACCTAAGTCAACGCATATTGTATGTACACAAAACGCGCGCCTCCGGAGAGGGCACATCAGAGCATAGTAGTGTAGTCGATGTAAGTTTAAGTCGCATGTGTTGGTGTGAATCAAACTGCAGCTGCTATCATGGCGTATCCCAAGCTCACACCGCTGACCTGTTCTTGACTCCAATGGCCCGGCGAACCTCAACGATCCGAAAAGGAAAACCTACAAAATGATTCTGCTAACAGTCTTTTATTAGTCTGCAGAAAAAGATCTTACCTCCTCAAACATGGGCAAAACCTTCCCCGAGGAAACGACGGTGAGATTGATGAGACCGACCAGCTCGGGGAACAGCCTGGGGACGTCGTTTCCGATGAGGTCCGTCAGCTCCCCGGTGAACTCTACTCCGGTGGGACCGGCCCCGATGACCTGGGGTGTGAGGGAATTTGTCGTCGTTGTTTCGTTGCAGAAAGGGGGGGCACATAACGATAGGGGATAACATTTTCCCTCGCCTGCGTGCGCCATAACAATAGGCAGAGCGGTGGCGAAGACTCGGCATCGGTGTTCATGAAGTTTCAAGCGTGTGTGAACATCCGCAAACTATAGACATAGACCCTGTCCTTCCTCGTCGTACGGCGGGGCAACAACAGGCAGAACGAATAATCCTTATAACGTTGTGCGCACTTTAGGCGTCAAAAGGGTGGTTAAACGTGTCAGCCGGAAAGCTGGTGATTGATTTTTCCTCGGTCGTACCTCCCGGTGTTGTTGTCGCTCACTACTCCCGGAGGGAGGGCGGGGGTTGACGATTCACTCAACAAGCAGCTGCGTCTTTCCCCCAGCGAAACCCACCCCAAAGTCATGGTAACTGTTTCCGCTATTCAAAAACAACCCCAAGAGTTTCTCGTCAAAGAGCCTATTTCTGTTCAACATTTTCCCTCCAAATAAAGTACTTCTATTCTCAAAAACGCGGTCTTTTCTTATGGTTAAAACGAACGCAACCAGTCAATTCGCCGTTAATGCGCAACAGAAAAACAACGCCGAAACCTGCGACAGCAGCATCTAAAGAACCACACCAAGCTCTCACCACGAAGGACAGCAATTTTCGCTTCTCCTCGTCTGTGACCCCGGGCAAGCACGCCTCCTCGAGGACGTTCACGATGGCAGCGCGGAGCTGCCGCGCGTCGTTTGCCTCCTGTTACCCAACAAACATGCGTGCGAAAATGCACGTTAAGTGTGTCGTGACAAGTGGCCGTTGCTCTTGGCCATTCTTTGTAGTAGCGAGAAAATACGATGGAATATTGTGTCAAAGCACAAACTGCGTGTGTGCTGATTTGCAAAAATGATGCCATCGAATTGCGAGAAAAGTACAAGGGAACGTAAAGAAACGGCGTGACGAAACGATCGAGCTCAATGAGAAAACGGCCCTGCGTACAGTAGCACGTGCACACGAGAGCACCGACGCCGAACCAGGCAGCGAGCCAACCACGTCCCAAGCAACATCGTGCAGAGAGAGAGAGAGAGAGAGAGAGAGAGAGAGAGAGAGAGAGAGAGGCGCTGCACCATCCACTGTACTACGATTACTATGGCCGGAATTCCGCCGCCAGCGGATGGGGCAACGCCAAGAGCCCGCAGTGTATGCCGAACCGCAATAACCCACACACATACAAACCAATCAGCAAGGGCGAACACATTTCGAGCAACGGAAGACCAAAGCCAGCAGGTCCGCAGGGACGAGAGCGACAAGGGTGGCCAAGCAACCCACACTAGCGACCGGCCGTCGTCAACGAGCGGATCGCCACCGGACCGACGAAAACACTACGGCCGCCACCACCACTATCACCACAAACGATACCAACAACAACAACAACAACAACAACAAAATGACAGCAAAACTAACATGGGAATTGCTGCAACTTCCGCGCTGGCGGGCAGTAAATTGATTTCATCAGCAGTGAAACGGCGGCTAGGTGCCGCGATCCGGACATACCTCTTCCGCCTCGCGTGGGGAGCCAGAAAACGCGAAGGAAAATGTATCGAACGACACTGTAAATCGAGATACCCCAACGCTCGAACACGCCTTCCAACTGTAGCAGAACTGTAGCAGAACTGTAGCAGAACTGTAGCAGAACCATGAACGTTGACATCCATCAAGGCCCGGCCGAAACGGCCACGTTTTCAGGTCGAACGAATCAGGGGTGGGGTGGAGAGTAAAAGAGATAAAAAAAAAAGCCAGAGGAGTTTTTGAGGGAAAAAAAACGAACAGAACGCTCGTCGTCGAGGTCATGACTCTGAATACCACCCCACTCACCGCCCCCAACACACACCTTGAGCATGTAGCAGTTCTCCCGCACCCCCGGCACCCCGAACGTCCCCGTCTTGGTGCCCACCGCGTACACGAGCTTGTCGTAAGAGAGCTCCATCAGCGGCTTGGCGTCGTCGAGACTAGCGAGCGGCTCCTGGCTCAGAGAGCCCTCGCCAGCACGGCTCAGGGCACCGCCGCCGGTCGCCGCCGTTGCACCCTCCGCCGGGCTCTTGGAGTGTACCAGGGGCGGCACGTTCGGGGCTACGGAGGCGGCGCTCACAGGCATTTGAGGGGGACGTTTCTCTTGCGGGGAAGGGAGGGCTACTACCACCTGGCGGGACGGTGGTGGGGAGGGAGGAGCGCGGGCGGCCCCGGAGATGGGGCCGGGGGGGGGGGGGGGGGGGG